TGCAGCAGCTTTAATGGAGGACTCTGACAGAAGAACTCCTGCAGGTTGGGGATACAGTGTGGGTTGGTTTGGGGAGGAGAAAGCAGAGCATTTCAAGTGATTTCCAAACCATAAGAAACACACATTGCTTGATGTTGGCTCAGAAAGACCTTCCTTTCCATCTACGGAACAATGAAAATGAAATCTCTTAATCCTTAGGAAAGAAAACAAAAAGAGAAGAGGGGAAAACAGAAAGAAGAGGATATGTGCTTACATTTAAGAAACGTCCTGGAACTGCCAGGCAAAAGGCTGTGTTACTACTGGCCCGGGCTGGCGAGAGTTTAGGGTCTCTGTTTACCTTTCTGTGGCTGTCGGAATATTTCCCTGAGCTACACAGCAAGATCCTGTGTCCGATAACCCTCTTCATGGTAAGATAATATTCAAGAATGTTTATGGCAACTGTGAGTGATTGGCCAGCTCTTTCATAACTTGACATGGAAGGCAGTGGGTGTGAGATGAACTTGGAGAGGGTCTCTCACCCTTAGAACAAGGAGGGTGTCTTCCAGGCAAAAAGTGGACTGGTCATGTGGCTTAGGCCCTCCCAAAATAGGTGGAAGGAATCCTCATTTAAGTTTCTAATTCCTTTTCCTGAGAGTAAAACCAAACAAAAACATAATAGAAAACTGAAAGCATGATCTGTTAAAAGGATTTCTGAATCTTTAAAACAGGGGTCCCTGTGAATTAGGGTCACACAGTTCTGGCTAGAGATAGGGAAGTAGATTCTTTGCCATTTGATAGATTCCCTTCTGTGCATATTCATTTTCCTAAAGCTTGGTGTAGGGATCTTGGCCTTACCCATCTTGATCCATGAACCCTAACCCATCCTGGAGCCCACTTTCCTGCCATTGAGCTCTTTATCCCAATACCTAGCCTTCTTTCTGCCTCTCTGGACTGAGACAACACAGAAACAATGGAGAAGAATGCAAGCTTAGACTGTGCATTTATGCTGTGGGAGGCCTGGAGGAGGGGACAGATTTAGCTGGATCTCATGGAAGAGATGACAGCGATGCAGGGACTTCTTTCCTAGATGGGGTAGTGCCTGGGTTTTGTGAGGGTTTTCTGACACCCACTCAGATTGCTTTCACAACACCCCAGAGCTCACGCAGGACCCTGGGAATTAAGTTCACCTTCTTAGAGTCTGATCTGGGGAGACTCTTCATTTCTGCATTGTTCATTCCCAGGGCTGATAAAAGGAGGTCTGGCCAGATGAAGTCTCAGATCTAGTCCAGCCTTGATAGCCTGTGGGTCTATGGTTTAGTTGTCATCCCCATTGTGTCTCATATTTCTTTAGGATTCACAGGTATGGATTAAAGAGAAAAACAGGTTTGGGAATCTGTCACATTTGAAAAAATGAATTTTCCTGACACCCCTATGGTAATTATGGAGATTGGGCCATGAACACTAAAATCTGTGACTTCTAGAGAAGATTTACTGTAGACAAATTGGGACTCTTACCTCATACTTAAGCTTCATGGGTTATGATTGAAGTTTCCATTCAGCTACCCCATCTGGCATCTTCTGTCATTGTTTCATGAATAAGTCTGACCCCAGAGCTAGGGGTTATTTTGACCCTTCCAAGTTGGGTTAATGAAACTGTTTTCCCATTACACTGAGCTCTACATGAGATCCTCAGTTTAGTGGAAGAGCTAAGGGAATATGAGGGGAAAGGGAGTAAGTCAGCGTTGGTCGAATGGACTAAGGGGAGCTAATGGGAACTCAGGGTAGCTAATGGGAGCTTACAGGTAATGTATGTATTGTATGACAGATGCAAGGCTTAATCTGACAGCTACCATTCCTAGCTCTGTGGCCCAGGGCAACTTGTTTTATTTCCCCAGCCTCAGTTTCCTTACCTGAGAAGGGTTTATTTCCCTCTGATGATGAAATTACACTTGTCTTTGAGTGTGGCTGGGAGGATGAAATGAAAGCATTTTATAAGGCACTTCTCTTATTTCCTGTCTCAGGTTAGACATTCAGTTCCTGAGTTTTCTTTCTTCTTCCTACTGTAAAACTTGTAGCAGAAAGTGAAAGGAGGGCACCTTTCTGGAGACAAAAAGGCCAAAGGAGTTGGAAGTCATCTTGACATATAGGATGGGAGGCCCATAGGTATTCACATTTTATTCCCTGAAGAAAAGAATTTTACATTATTACAAGCCCATGGAGTGGAGAACAGGGTGTGGGAAGGGTGGGACAGAGATTAGTTTCCCTGTGGAAAAGTCTTTCAGCCACAGATTTTCAGTCTTGGATGGGTACCTGGGGATTCCTCCTTGAGCTTGTCTGCTTTTCTCTTCCCCTATCCACCTCTGGGCCCTCTCTCTTACTCTCTCTGTACCTCTCCTGGCTGTTATAGCTAGAAGAGCCCCACAGTCCTCTGGAGAAGCAAGCTTTGCAATTTAGGTGACTCTACCCAGAGCTCAGATCACACACAGCCATTTTTCTTGATGATATTGGTGGCCTCTGGATGTAACCTCAGAGTTAGATTATCAAAGGATTCTCTTCTCAGATGTGGAAGGGGAGGGAGTCAAAAGAATGAATAGACCATTGATCCCACCATATCATATTGAAGGAGGCCCCAGTAGTCATGAAGTACCATGAGAAATTTAGGTCAGACAGTGTGGTTGATTGACAGACAACTGGTGGTCAACTTGTAATACCCAGCTGAAGTGAACCAGTGTGGTGCTGAGTGTTGGAGGCCCACTATAGGACTGTTACCAGCAGCACAGAAGGTAGAACTGGAGAAGAAGAAAAGAGGCTGTTGGGAGCTAGTAGAAGCTGTTAGGAGCTGTTGAGAAGCTATTGGGAAGCTGTTAGAGAGCTGCTGGTTCTCTTGGGCTATTCAGCTGCAGGATCTTGTCATGCTGCCTTTCCTGATAAACTTGTCTATTCTCATTGGAGGAGGAGGTGGGACCTCGCTGTCACTGAGAATGGCTACAGTTCGCTTTGGGGGAGCTCTGGTTCTCACTTTGAGCATCACTTCCTGGCTCCCGAGCGGAAGGTGGTGCACCACTCAGTCTCCTGGAAAAGCTTGTTGAGTTGGCTTTCCTAATGGGAACTCAGCTTTCCTCATCATCAGAAGAGCTTGGAACTTCACTGTTGCTGAGGATGGCTGTGGTACTTTTTGGGGGAGCTCTGGTTCTTACTTTGAGCATTGCTTCCTGGCTCCAGTGCAGATACCTTAGCCTGCTAGCACAGATCCTTTATCCCGCTGGCACAGACTTTCTAGCTTCCACCACTGACCTCTGGGTCTTCCCAGCACAGATCTTGAAACAGGCCTGCATGAGACATTGTCATGGGCTCTAGGCCTCCAGTTAGACTTGTAGGAGGCATGGTTATGTGTTCTAGGTCTTCAGATGGACTCATGCAAGACATTATTGTGGGATTCAGACCCTCAGCTGGATTCTTTGGTCTTTATGTGTGGACATACTTCCTGCACACTCTTTTTGTATATGATTCTTTGGGTGACTATTATAAATAATCTTATAAAATATGTACCGTGTATTAAATTGTTCCCCCTTGCAAAACCCCGATACTATGAGACAGGAAGAAGCATGTCCTAATAGTGAGAGTTGAAATCCTAGATCAGGCAAGTAACACAAATGTCACATCCCCTCCAACCCAGTGCATTTTCTAAAATTAGGAAAGGAGATTCTTTTTTTCAGAATGACCCTCTAGGATCACAGAAGACAAAAGAAACCCTTAAGGCATTTTTTTTTTCCCTTGGGGTTTCCTTAAACCAGACCAGCTATGGCTTGGTCTGTCGGAGCTGAGTCAGAGATTTGGCTCCTTCTGTCCCATGCTCATGCTTCCCAAGCGTCCATGTCCCCAGTCCCCTCCATACACGGGCCCAGGCCCAGATTCACAGCGTGGGTTCTCCCTTGCCCATGTTCTGCAGAAACCCGTCTTTGTTCTGTTGTCCACTCCCAGCTTTTGCTGAGAACAAAGAGGAAGTCCAGCTACAAACTGTCCTCTTGCAAAGTAATTAAGCGCTCGGCATGGGGGCGGGTGCTGCTCATGGCTGGCCAGCGTGGGAGGGTTGGAGTCCACAATAGGTCTGCCAGGAGGGACCTGCTGGTTCTCACGTCCTTCCATCTCTCTTGGAGGTGGTGTTCCCACACGTGGCTGTCCCGGTGGTGACATTTTGGGCACAAGGAACTCATGATGTGTCCTGGGTCATGCTGGCACAGTGCACAGAGTCACAACTTCCAAGCTCTATTGGTCACTGGGAAGTTGCAGACTCACCCACACGTGGCAGAGGAGGGTGCGTAAGGAAGGGCTTTGTTCACTCAGAACCCATGAATCAGCTCATAAAAGAGAAGGCTGAGTTGCCAAGGGCATGTGTTGTGGGAGGAGGAAAAGAAAGGAATTGGTTCCCCTTTGCAGAGTGGACAAGGGCCAAAAGTTCTCTTGCCTCACTGAAAGAAGACTCAGAGATAGAAAAAAAAAAAAGGAATTTAAATTAGAACTGAGAGTTAGGATGTTTGAATGTGAGGACCAAAAATAGAGAAATGAGCTGGATTTCTTTCCTATGGCTGTTCAGAATGGACTAGGATAGATATCTGGGGGTTTTAGCTAGAGGCAATAAAAAAATAAAAATGAACTCCTAGAAGTGCACAGTATTTGTTAGAGATCACAGATCTGAAATGTCCCATGACTGTGGCACCCTCTAGATCTAATCTCAGCCAAAAGGCCAAGAAACCACATGGCACCTTCTAGAATCATGGTGATAGATTTAGAGTGTTGTAGTGATGTCTTAGAGGGTATAACTGGGGTCTACAGAGACATTGTTAGAAGGAAGGTTTAAGCTGAATATAAAGAAGAACATTTAACAATAAAAGGTGTCTAACAGTGTGGTGGGCTGCTTTACTAAGACAACAAATTTCTTTGTTTTTTTTTTTTTTTTTTGGTTTTCCTCTGGTACCGGGAACCGAACTCACGACCTTGCACTTGCCAGGCAGGCGCTTTGCCACTGAACTAAATCCCCAGCCCCAAGACAACAAATTTCTGATTGCATGGAGTATTTAAATCGAAGATGTGGAATTCTTTGGAGGTTTATCTCCTGCACTGGAAGGATGGAACTGATGCCCTTTCAAGAAACTTTACGATAAGGTATCATTTTTTTTAAATTTATGTATTTGTCTCTAAAAGTTCATGTATTTAGAGCTATAATTTCCTTTGGCGAGAAGGTGGTTTCCTTAGGCTAAGGTTTGTTCATTAATTTATTTGCTTGCTCTCTGAGTACCTACTAGACACTAGTCCTGGAGAAACAAAAATGAAGAAGACCTAGTGCCTTTCTATTTGGGCAGTTCTTCATATACTGGGAAAGCAGGCAAGGAAACAGTTAAATTATAACTCGGCACGGTGAGGGCGAAATGGAAGCACCAAAGGCAGTGAAGACTCAAGAAGGAATAAAACAGCTCTCGCTGGGGGGAACAGAGGTTTCTCAGAAGAGGCAACTTTATAGTTGACATCTTCTCCCAATCCAATTCCATTTCAACCCAGTCCAGAGACTGACTACTGAATGACTACACTAGGTAAGGTAAAGAGAGTGGATGCAAATGTGTGTTCTTAAAGGACTCATTCAGATACACATTCACGTTTATGGCCTCAGTTGTGTGCCTCAGGATGGGGCATACACAAAAAGGGCAAGATGTGGTCTTTAAGCACTGTCCAGTCTCAAACTCAAAGCAAGCCCTCTTTCTCTCATTCTGGAGCAGAATCGAGATCAGCAAGAGGATCTAAGTAGGGCGGTCATTTGGAAGTAGTGTCAAAGAGCCACAGTAGGGAATTTCTTTCTGTGGCTCTCCTGCCTGTCCTTGGAGTGGAGGTTGTATTTCAATATGCTGCTGTCCAAATGAAGCCGCTGAGGATGCCGGGTATGAAACATACTCTGGTGGGCCCTTATGTATCCAGTTTGCAGCCCTAGGCGAGATCTGTAAAATGACAGCAGGAGGCAAAGATGTGTTTTGTGGTTTGCTTTTAGTCCTGATGAGGCCAAAGGTAGAGAAGGCAAAGGTGCCGGATGGAGGAAGAAAAAAAAAAATCATCTCTAATTCATCCCGCAGTATGGGAACCATTCGGATAATTGAGGGATACTAGGCAGCTGGAGTCTGCTAGTACATGTCAGGGCTCAGCCATGAGACAAAATAACTCATGTAGATGCTAGGAGAGGTAATTCACCTTTAAGAATTGTTAACTATAGACTGAATGTGAAAACGGAACACAAAGGCAGCTACTTGAAAAAGTAGGCTTCTCCTTTAGGAGTGGGTGGACAAAACACATGGGTTGGAATTACTAAAATATAAAAATTTAGAAGGGCTGAAATTTGGACCTTTGATGAGAGGTGCAGGCCAGTTGGTGCTGGTATCCAGATGAAGATAATGAGTTTGGTACTGTAGGGGGGAAAGTGACAGCTACTGAAATGAGGTGAATTATAGGGTGAAAGCAAAAGGAGGCTTGGTGATCTTGCCAGAATCAGGAAGCAGGAGAATGGAACAGGAAACAGGCAGGAAGGAGCAGGCGCCTTCTCTTTCTTTCCAGCCTTCCAGTCTTCCTATGGTGCATCCTATTGGCAGAGTTTAGCTGGGAACCAGCAGGCAAAGCAGAAAACAAGTCTGCAGAGTCACAGCCCAGGTACTCACAAAGCCAAGAATAGATATGTGTTTGCAATGGAGGTCACTAGCTTAATAAATTGGCTCAGATGGGCTGAGGAGGTTGCAGATCAAGACATTTGCCAAAAGAAGTGTTGTTGGCTTTTGGGCTAGTTGAGGCAATACTAGCTATTAAAACAAATACAAATTCAATAATGGAAATGAGCTCAAATGCAATGCAAAGTTTTTCTAGATCTCATAAAGCGTGATATAGGTGTGTCTGGTTACTGGGTGACTCTCCTCTGGACAAGGATTCGGAGACTCACATTCTTTCCATTTTCTAGCTCTGAAACTTTGATGTATGGCTTCTAGATTTGACTACTTATAAGCTGGGCAAAAAAGAGAGACCCTAGGGAATGTGAGGTTTTCACATGGTAGGCTTAGAGATAGTACCTGTGTCCACATTGCACTGATTATAAGTCAGGCCCATGGACACACCTGTCTGCAAAGTGATGCTGAGAGGTGTAGTGAACTTGTGAGCTCAGAAAGATGAGGGTAAAGGAAAGATAATCAGCCAGTTATGACATGTGTTCAGCAGACCCTAAATAGGTTAGCCTTTCAGCAGTCCTTTCCTGTGAACACTGGCTGACCTTAGCTCATTCCACAGGTGTCCACAAGGAAGAAGAGCTGGAGGATGTGGGAAAGATGCAGTGAGGAAATACACCCAGAAAACACAGTTTGCACTTTACTTTAATAAACACAGACTTGTATTCTCCCAGGCTTTTGGTTTCAGAGAGGTTTCCCCTTTATTTCACTCCTGTTCCCGGAAAATATTCTTTCTACCTTCCCCCACTCTTTTTTGGTTTTTAATTAATGAAGTAATTCGTACATCAAAAAGAAAAATAAAAAATTGAAAGTATATACGTATGTTACAAATATGTTTTTTCCCAGTTTTTGCTTGTCTTTTGATTTTGTTTATAGTATCTCTTGAATTACAAATGCTTTATGTTTTAATATTGTAAACTTTATTAATTTTTGGATATGCCTTTCTTCTTCTCTATTCCAGAGTCATAAACACAGTCTCTTATATTTGCTTCCAATACTTTCATATGTATATTGTTAAGGTTTTTAATCCATCTGGAATTGATTTTTGTGAATGACACAGCATAGAAATCTGATTTTCTTTATTTTTTTTAACCAGAGGGCTAGCTAATGGTCTAATCATCTTTTCCCAGTAATATGTCCCTTTTCCCTGTTATTTGAAATGTTACTTTTATAATATCTTAATTACTTCATATACATAATATATGTCTTTTACTGTTGTATAACAAATTATGAAAGCTTAGTGGCTTAAAAGATTGCAGATTTATTATCTTACATTTCTGGAGGTCAGAGTTTGAGATGGTCTCACTTGGCTAAAATCAAAGTGTTGGGTTCCTTCTGGAAGCTATAGTGGAGAATTCACTCTGTTTTTTGCAGCTGTCACGTTCCTTGGCTCACGGCTCCCTTCTGTTTGAAAGCCAGCAATGGCAGATCAAATCTTTCTCACACTGAATCACTCAAGATGCCTATGCTCCCCTTCTTACTTATGAGCATAATTATGATTACACTGGTTGTATTTAGATATTTCCACCACCTCAATCTCAAGGTCAGCCGGTTAATTCCATCTGTAATCTTTGTTTTTCCTTGCCATGTGTTATGGACTGAATTGTGTTCCCTCTCCATTCATATGTTGAAGCCCTAACCCCTAGGATTTGAAAGTGACTGTATTAGGGGATACAGCCTTTAAAGAGCTAATTAAGGTTCAGTGAATTAATGTAAGTGGGCTTAATCCAATCTGAATGATGTCCTCATAAGAAAAGGATATTTGGACACACAAAGAAATACCAGGGATACACTTTTACGGTGGGGAGAGACTGTGTGAGAAGCAGCAGTAGTGGGAGGGCATCTGCATAGCAGTGAGAAAGGCCTCAGAGTTATCAGCCCTGCTGGTACTTTAATTTTGGACCTCAAGCTTCCAGAACTGTGACAAAATACACTTCTGTGTAAACCACTCAGTCTGTGGTATTATGGCACCCTAGCAAACTAATATACCATTTAATAACAGGTTTGTATGTTGCCAGGTTAGGACAAAGGGGGAGCCATCTTTGGAGGGACATTATTCCGCCTGTCACACGCTACATGATAGGTATGTTTTGTATTCTCTCACATTGTTCTACTCATTTATTCCTGAGTCACTATCATATTTATAAAATTATCAGGGTGTTATAATTATTTTATATGGTAGATGGAAGTTCCTTTTTTTTCTAATCCAGTATTTTCCCAATTACTCTATGCACTTATTGCTCCATATCAATTTTAGAATTGTCCTATCAGGTTTCCTGAAAACTATGATTGCATTAAATTTACAGAGTAAATCTTTGCACCTAGTATTTTCCCGCTTAATCAGCTCTTCTGTATGTTCTTCAAAATGTTCTTTCTTATTTCTTATTTCCTGGTAGTTTTTTTCCCAGGTGCTTTTAACTTTCATTGATATTGTGAACAGGATGATTCCTCCTCTGTACAGCAGGAAAATGAGGCCTGGTGAGAGGGAGGGGTGGAACAGGTTCTGAGACCACGCAGAATCAGGCAGCAGACTCTAACAGTAGCACAGTTCTGTGACTTCTAGGCCTTGTTGTCTGTCCGTGGAGCCAGCCTCCATTCGCTCTACAATGTGATGTTCTACATGAGGTCAAGCTCATGTGACCCCTAAGGCAGCCCTGGGTTGGGCCAGGGGATAGGCTGCTTTAGAGCTCAGGATGGATAAGAATTGACATAGAGGGTACTTCTATTCCACAGAGGAAGCATCATAGGGAAAGAGTGGATGACATTTTGGGCACAAGGAACTTAGGGAGCAAGTAAAGGAAGAGAGGAAACTTTGGGATCAAGCAAGGCAGAATCTGTAGCATCATTTATTCTTTCTCTCTGCTTCATTAAGCAACTATTAGCAGGGAAGGAGTATGCACTCATAAAAAGTAATAGCAAATAGAGCATTATTCAGAATTCACAATAAACAAATCCCAATTCCTGCTCACTAAGGAGTAGTAAATAGTCCCCAGGGCTCTTCATTAGGATGACTAAAAAGATTTAGAATGATAAAGGGAGATGTGAAGTTAATTTGACAATGGAAGAGAATGGATCCATGGTCCAGAGATATCAAGGATCAGGGCGTGTAGAGGAAGGAATGGAAGACTTTGTCTCCCAGGTTGCTTGGTCCCATCCCAGTCCCCCCGCCTCCACTACATGGTCCTGGCTATAGGCTGGAGTGAGTTGACTTTGACTACCTGCTGGGATAACCTTGGTCCCTCTCAGTAGTGCCCAGTTTGGACTCTTCCAGCTTTCATTTGGCTTTGGAAAGGGGTGGTGATTCATTAGGAATACTCAAGAATACAGCGTTTGCACATATTGGGGGTTTTCCAAATGTCTTTCAGCAGCTGTACTTTTTAGATGGCAAATGTTTAAGAAACTGAGGAATATTGCTTATTCCCAAGCAAGGGGTGGGGTGCTTTTGAGCTCCTATCTCTGTTCAACTCTGAAGGCCCTAATTTCACTAACCAGGAAATGGAGTCTTGAGAAGGAGAAATATTCTTAAGAAATATTTCTGAGAAATTTTAGAGGTGGTGCTGTAGTATTATTGACATTTTAGGATGTGACCCTTCCCCTGGTTTCTCTAGGTTAATGGGTTGAATTAGGAGCCACAGAACAGTAGAGACCTATATGTCAGTGGTGTATGTGTGGGAGAGAATGTGCAGAAAAAGGCTATGAAGTCTTCATTTTTCTGATGCAGAGAGAAAATTATTGCTCCTCAGTGGGCAGAGGAAATATTCTAATAGGAAATTGAGTTTTACCTCTGGCTGTCAACCATCCATTCATCCATCCATCCATCCATTCATATATTTGTACATTCATTGCATAAATAGTATCTAATGGTATAGAATTGTGATGTACCTTTTAAGAAATTTGGAGTTAATTCTAGAATCAGTGAGGAGCCCTTGAAATTCCTTAGATGAAGGAGTGATCAGATACAGGATGTGATTCAGGAAGATTTAAGCAGCATACATATAGGGGTAAAGGATAAAGGCGTAACTGTGGCCTTTGATAGGAGGTTTAATGTACCTCTTTTCCATTCGGTGTACTGAACCAGTTTTTGGTCTTCACTGAAATGGATCAGACAGAAATGAGAAAGACGTAAGGATAGGGGATGAAAGTCAGAGAGAACAAGATATCTGATATGATGTGCTCAGTGGACTTGTTTGGAGAATAATCAGTTCAATATTTTCTGGGTACACTTTCCTTAATTTTCCTTACCAATTTTTGTCTGTCTTCCAACTCAAGGGGGTCATTTGGGGCAGAAAGGAAGGGGCCAAGGTTGGTCAAGGAGACTGTGCATTTTGTACATTTCTAACTGCCCCAGCAAATTCAGCAGTCTGGTCTGTGGATTAGTTTTTTAGGGTTGAGGTACATTGTGTATGGAGAGATAAGGGAACAGAGCAGATAGCTATTTATGGTGAAATAAGCACCAAGGGACGGTGAAAACAGATGCGCCTCCATCTTTCATTAACCAATTGTCTGCACAGGTCTGCACTGGATGCCTTGCAGAGTGCATTGCTGGGTTCTCCCCTTCCAGGAGATTAAGGGCAGGGCCAGGGGAAGGATCAAGAGATTTAGAGTCACACAGATCTGCTTACCAGCTGTATGACCTGGGTCCTGCTCCCCTCTAGATCTCTGAGCCTCAGTTTCTTCAACTGGAAAATGAGGATAATACTGCCACCTGACTCATGGGATTATTTCGAGGACTGAAACACTAATGCATGTGACAATTACTTTGTAGAGTGTTAATCAATGCTTAAAGATTAAATATGAACAATAACACGATTTTTTTCCAGTGTTATTTTCCTTTGTCTTTGAATACACCACCTTCCAGAATTATTTACAGTGCTCCATCTGGAGAGGCTCATGTCCAGGTGAGAAAGGACAACCAGAGCCCCTCTTCTGTGTTCTCAGCCCATAAATCCCTGAGTATACTGCTTTCTGGTAAACACGTGTCTTGTTTCCAGGTTTCATGACTCTGTATGCATTTTGAAACACAACTTATTGTGCTCTCAAATGTAGTTGAACTTTTAATTTCTTAATAAAAATCACATTTAGATAAATAAATCACTAAATCCAAGTGGTTGGGGCTAGAGACGGAGGGTGAGGAAAGATGGCTCCAGGTTGAACCTGATGAGCTTAGGGGCAGACTCCACAGCTTTCTGGAAATGTGGTGACCCTTCCCACTTCATCCTTCTCTGGATGAAGGCCTTGATGCTTATTGATTTTTAATAGTTCTCTGTTCTGTCCTGTAGGGAACTTGCCATTCACAAATCATCATCCCCAGACTGCAGGATGGAGCCACCACCAGGGCTGGGAGCCTGTCTGTCTTCCAGAGTAGAACCCCATCACTAGAGGAACAAGCAGAGGGTAAGAAGCATGAAGAGTTTTTCCTGGCAACAGGTCTTGCTTCTAGGGCAATGAAAGATGTGAAAACTTTCTGTTTGGTTTAGTTTTTCCTGTGCAGCAACTGATAATCTCCCTCTCTGTTAAAGGCATGGGTTCAGTTAACGCTGGGGCTTTTGCCTGTTAAATTGTGAAAATGCAGAACAGCAGCCCCTTTGCTGGTTAAGGATATTTATTTCAAGTCCTAAATCAATTTCAGCCCCTCTCTCTTCCTCCCCTCTTTCCTCCTCCTACTGCATCCCTCCCCTTTGGAACTTGGGAAAATCTAATTTCCTTCCTGCCTTAATCTCTCTCCAGTTTTGCACAGACTCTGCTCTGCCGGCACCTGCTCCTTCCAGCTGTGAAGTATTTTGGTAAAATACTTTGTGTCCTGCCAAGTTGTGGATGGACAAGACCCCCATGGCCGCTTCCTGGCTCTCTTAATGAACACAGTTGTTCTGTTCCACTGGGTCCCCTGGAGCTCCCCCATTCAATCCGTTAGCCAGTGGTGGTTTCCACAGTTAGAGCGAGACCCCTGCCCTGGGCCCCCAAGCGCCTGCCTTGAATGAGGAAAGAATTTGAAATTGAGCACTCCCTGTGCTGGTACTAAGTGCTCTGAGCTTTACAGCCCCAACTCCTGTATCACAGGAATGTCAGGCTAACCAAGAGAGACTCCAGACCTGCCATCTCCCCAGCCTTGGGGCTAAACCATCATTATTAATGACAGCAATCACCACCCAGAATTCAAGTCATAAATAATAAATGTCTTTCAACAGTCACAAGAATGGCTGCAAACATTCATCATCTACACACCTCTCTAAATAACCATGGGAATGAACAGCAGAACTATTATGCTCATTTCTCTATTTAATTCAATGCTAACATTTAGTTTTATTTCAAAAGAAGAAAGTCCAAAGCAGCATGAAATCCAGATGATAATGATAGATATTCCATAAAGAGGGATTCTATGGCCAAATAAATTCAGAAAGCTCTTTATTATTAAGAAACAAAGTTAAAGAAAGACTCCTCTGTGTCTTTAATACATTAACTTGTATTAAAAACCTTACAAGAGAGTTACCTTGTGTTTCCTAAAAGTACTGGACCTTAACTTTTTCCCCCTTTTGACTTCATATGTAATATCTTGCCGGACAGCAGTGTGGTACACTGGACATATTTAACATATTTAACTTGCTCTCTAGGGGTAAGAAGTATTAGTTAGTAAATATTTCCACCATGGCTGATTTCAAAAAACCAGTAAGAAGTCACTGGGCATGGAGTTGGGAACACACGTGTGCAATCAGATTCTGAGCCAAAGTAAGCTGGTGGCAGCTGGTGCGAGCTGTCATGTGGTGAAACTCTATTGGGGAAATGCTACTCTTTCTTGCAATCCCCTTCTTTTCACAGAGAATGTGAAAGTGAACAAAAGCCATAGACAAGGTAGGAAGTTGCTGGTCCTTGGAATTTTTGCTTACTGCTCTAATCAATGATCTGAATGGACTGTCTGTGCCTGAGTCCAGCTTATAATGAATATTGAATTTAGTGATGAGGCTTCCCAGTTCTCTGCACTGCTAATAAGAGCTGCTCTAAGGTACACATCTCCTGACTTTGCTATGACTTTACTAGCCTCTGGTCTCCCTGAGGACCCCTGTAGCAGGGCCTATCACTCTGGTGAGGTAAGATAAAAGAAATAAAGCTCGGTAGAAAGAAAGCAAGGAAAATGATAATTTAAAAAATTATACTCAAGCGCAGCATCAGGACACAAAGTTACCCAAGGTTATCCTTGGGTAATTACTTTTTTTGGGTATTACTTTTTTTGGGTATTTACTTGGGTATTACTTTTCTCCCAGGCCCAGCACATCCCTAATCCCTCCTCCTCCTCCTCCTCTTCCTCCTCCTCCTCCTCTTCCTCCTCCTCCTCCTTTTGTTCTTTCCCCTCCTCTTCCTCTTGCTACTCTTCCTCCTTCTCTTCCTCTGTTCCTCTTTCTCTTCCTCCTCCTTCTCTTCCTCCTCCTTTTCTTCCTCCACCTCCTCTTTCTCCTATTCCTCTTCTTCCTCCTCTCAGGTCATTTTCTTCTCCTGTATTCCAAGATGGCTCTCTCCAGGTTCTCTTGTCTCCTGCTCTTTGCGCTCAGTGAGCTTCTTCACCTGTTATCTAAATGCTTGAACATTTTTAGACCTCATTTCTTCTTCTTTCCCTTTCCTTCCTTGGTCCAGATAATCTAATCTGTTCTTGTGGATTTAAATATCACCATTATTCTGCTGATTACCAAATTTATGCATGGCATATCTTTGTGTGTGTGTGTGTGGTACTGGGAATAAGATTCAGGACCATGCGCTTGCCAGGCAGGCACTATGCCATTGAGCTCTATCCCTGGCAATTACCAAATTTATAATTTGAGACCAGGTCTTTTCTGTGAGCTCCAGTCTTATTAACGAAGAGTCTATTTGACATCTCTATCTGGATGTCTTAAATTTTGTTAACTTCTGCTTAGGTGAAAAGGAACTTGATGTTTCCTTGCCCTTCACCTTGCTTCTCCTCTAACGTTTCTTATGGCAATTAATAAATTTCAACTAGCTTGAAATCTAGTTGTCTGAGCCTGAAATCTTCAAATCATTCTTAAATCAACTTTTGTGCTTATCTTTTCTTGCCAACCTACTAAAGTCTTGATGAGTGAATTTCATTCTATTTTTTCCTTTCATGTCCTAAGGGCCGTTGTCCCATACGGCACTTAAACTTGAGTCTGTTGTCCACAGCTACTGCTTTTCGCTTGCAAGTGGAGAAAGTTCTAGGAGAGAAGCTGCAGTCAGTTCATTTTCTCCTTACCACTCTCCAGACCAGTAGACCCCGAGAACCCCTAAGTGTTCTCTCCTTCCTGCCCAGCAGATCTCAAATGGGTGTCTTCTTACCTAATGGATCAAGTAGTCCAGGCTCCCTTCATATTATCCTTCTACTGAGCCATTGTCCTTTGGTCTTTGCTTTCTCATGCAAACCTCCACTGTCAGCCAGAAGCGCACTGTTCAATGGGACAAGGTGTCTTGAAAACACAACCGAGTGGACTCTTCATTTTAAATTGGCTTTTTTTTTCCCTCTATGATACAAGGTTTTTAGTGTAGTTTTGGTTTCATGATGATTTCCTGTGCATCACAGTCTCACTTGTAGGAAGCAGGAATTTCAAGCAATTTTTTCCCATTTTAGGATAGAGAAACTGAGGCCAAGGTTCTGAATTCAAGGCCATCCAGGTAGAGTTTCATAGCCATGTGGTTCCTTTGGCCTAATTCCTATTAGGAAAGATACAGACCAAAGCGCAAGTATCCCCAAGAGTGCTGCTTTGTTGAGGGACGACATATTCACGTTCTGGGGAGCCTTATGCTTATACAACTGTTGGTCTTCTGTAAGAAGAAGAATATAACAGTCCATAAAAGTGAGCGTTTATGTTAAAGTGCAAAGTCAAATAAGCAAATTTAAAATTGCTTACAGTATACCACAAGCATCCTAGGATCCAGAAAAATAAGATATATATTTTTGTTTTTTGTTAATAGACCACCTCTGCTCTAACTTTTAAAAAAATTGGCTATCCATTTTTTTTTTATGCTATTTTGTCTGTTTGTCTTGCTATGTAGTTCAGGATGGCCTTGAACTCACTATATAGCTTGGCTGGCCTTGAATTCATGGTAATCCTCCTACCTAAGCCACCCAAATGCTGGGGTTACAGGCATGTGCCAGCATGCCTGGCTGCTTTTTTATATGTCAATAGTTTGGTAATATTTTCTATAATGAGAACAAGGCTAAATCAGTCTTTTCTATATGTTGATGGAAATTTATCTTTTTAAATTATTGAAAATAACTTTTTAAAATTATGTTTTATTATGAATTTTATCACTTATAATTGGCAATGACATGAATTATTGGGGTTGTCAAATTTTAAACTTGGAAATTGCTTTTCTCTTACACTAGCTGTGAGAGTTAAGGCATTTCAAGGTTTTCACAGAGATTAAGATTTTTTACATTTTAGTGAAACAAGTATTAATTAATATATAATTATATATACTTATAATATATAATTAATTATATATCAATAATTATGATAACATATAATTTAACCAGTTTTTGCATAGCTTAGTGACACTAACTACATTCACATTGATGTTCAATCAGTCTCTAAAACTCTTTTCATTTTATAAAGCTGAAAACTCTACACCCACTAAAGAACTGCTTCTCCCTCTGGTAACCACCATTCTACTTTAGGTCCCCATGAACTTGAGTAACCTAGGTAGCTCATATAAGTGCAAGTGCCCAATCCTCTCTTCTTGTGACTGGCTTATTTCATTTAGCTTGATATCATCAAGATTTGTCCATATTGTAGCATATGTCAGTGTTCTTTCACTTCAAAATAATGGGCAGTATTCCACTGAATACATACACAACATTGTCTTTATCCATTCATCTACTGATGGACATTTAGGTGCTTCCACCTTTTGGTTGTGGTAATATTTCTATGAACATGGTGTATGAGTATCACTTTGAGACTCTGCTTCCCATTCTTTTAGGCATATACTCAGAAGTGGAGTTGCTGAATAATGTGGTAGTTTTATTATATTTTTGAGAAATCATTATACTTTCTTCATGTGGCAGCACTTTTTTACATTCCCAGCAGTGCACAGGGCCTCCAGTTTCTCCACATTATTGCCAACAATTGTTTCCTCCATCCCTCCCTCCCTTCCTTCCTTCTGATAATAGCCATTCTAAGAGGTATGAAGTGGTATCTCATTGCTGTTTTGATTTCTATTTCCCTAATGACTAGTGATATTGGCATCTTTTTGTGTACTTATTGGTCACTTGTACATTTTCTTTAGAGAAATGTCCATTTAAGTCCTTTGCCCATCTTTTAATCAAGTTGTTTATTTTTGTTGTTGTTGAGTAATTTTAAATATCTCTTGAATTGATTGCACCTGTTAATAAATTGCCTTTCATGACCTTGTAGTGGTGTATCATGAGCTTTGCTATTTTTGGTGCCAGCAGAACCAATGCGAGATTAAGCTCTTTCCCCTGATTATATACCTTTCTTCTCTTTTAATATTGAACCATCAAACAATCTTAAGATCCTATTCATTATTTCTATTTAAAAAGTATCTCTTTTAATGAATTACTGTTTCTGCCTTGGTCATAAGGTTTCTTGTTACAATTCATTTGTTTATGTCAGAATAATTTCTTTTGATTTTATGAAAATGAATAGCATTGTATAGTGCATTTATAATTATACATATTGAGTTAGAAAGTATATTTCTGGTGAGAGAATATTTAATTTGTTTTTAAGTATTGATGAGGGCTATATCCTTCACTTACAATTCTATATTTCTGTGACTGAATAATTTCCCACATACTAATGTATGGCTCCTTTTATTTCAAAACTTGGTTCTTCTGCATGATGCAGATACTTGAATTCTGGTATCGCAGGATGCATTTATGTCATAATAAGCCCTCTGGCCTGGCGCCTTTCTCCTGTGACAGTGGATCAGTCAGTACAGTGGGTAGGAGGACTATTTCTGGAAGTCATTCCTACAGTAGGATACTGAGAGCTATAAATAGAAGAAACTGAATCATGTAAATATATCCCATTAGCACAAAACTAGATGTACCCTGGATTCAATTCTCTTTTGGCTAAATCCCTCCAGTACCAACACCATCTGACAATAGGTTATTGTGGGGAAGTCAGAGTGAAAAGAGACAGTAGCCTTAACTGGTTAACATTAAAATATTTTTTCTTTTATAACTTTTTCAAGTACAGTCTATCTAGGACCCCTACTAGGGTTTTGACACTTCCTGTATTAGTGGAGAGCTCTGAAGATTACATTAGTTTAGAGTAAACAGGGTCTAGGTATAGGGTGTGTAAATAGAGTCTTTTTGTGTTTTAGGAATTCAAGGAGGGACAATGACCTGTTAATCTGTACCTTGAGAATCCAGGCTCCTAAAGCAGGATGCAGGACATTTTTGAGCCTTCCTATAGTTCTGCAACTGCATACCACATGAGCAGTATTCCTGGAACGGTCTGCCTTGGCTGGGGACTATGGATTTCCTGGTAAGATGACAGCAAGCTGTGATATTTTTATTTTACTATCTCACCATTCTTCACCTGCAACAAATGTCTCCTTAATTGCTTCAGCATGAGCCCCAGCTGACATTCTCCACTCTGAAGGGTCTCTCAGTCCCAACCTTACAGTAAACTCAAGACATCCAAATGGTGCTGCCAGACATGGCAGCTGGAAGCCAGACATCACGGCTGATTTGAGCAATTAGCTGAGCTCCCATCCTGGGCTGGCCTCATTAGGGGTGTCCAGATGTCCACTGCTAGTGCTGCCTCCCACCCCTGGGGCGCTTTTCTCCCCAGGTGAGGCTGAACTAGTGTCTGTGGGAGGCATGTCAAAGCTCAGAGAGCTCTTCCTAATTTTCAGGGCTGCTAATTGAAGTTGAGTGAAAATCACAGAGGCTCTGGCCATTGCTGTCTTGTCCCCAAGGCTCTCTGGTTTCCCATGCATAATTACCGTCTGCATAGAGCTCTCCCCATCTGGGGCAAGCCCAGCTGCCACAGCTCAATCGATTGTGAAGGGTGTTCAGGCAAAGTCATGCTGTTCATCCGCTGCTCAGCTCCCACCATGACTAAATGGGAACATCTGGAAAAGGGCAGGGCAGGGCTAGGGCGAGAAGGAGAAGGGCGAGAGAGGATTAAACCTGCTTCATCTTTATGGGAAGATTTTCTCTGATAATATGTGCCTTTTCTTTCCATGTGATGGGGGTTGGGAAAGAAAAGTCTCATCCCAGAATCTACATACTGACAGAGGGCCCAGTCGTAGATACCAGCTATTCTTAGGGCCTGTGTGTCCCCCCGTTGGGAAACAGTTTACATCAGAGGTTATGAGAAAGGCCACCTGGAGTTTCAGTGTGAAAAACATGTGTGGCTAGATGACCTAGCCTTGCCGTTTAGGCACAAAGTGGATCTCATACTTTGGTTGCTCCCAGAAACAAACCTTGAGGTAATGATTTGGGTGCAAGTATTTTATTTAGAAGTAGTACCAGGGGTGGATGGGCAAATGAGATGGAGAAGGGAAGGAAGAAAGCTGTGTTAGTGAGTAGATTATGTTTAAGAGGACCATCCTGTTTTCCAGGGCCTGAGAGGTTCCTTGGGTTGCAGGACCTCCAGTGCTGACGGGGGGAAAGTCCCAGGCAAACTGGGACAAGTTGGTCACTCCGTTGGAAGATGACTGCTGTGGGGCGCAACTGAATGGGGATCACTTGGCTGACTGGGTGGAACATGCCCTAGAATTTTCCAGCTGGAAGGCACACAGGCTGAGGTGTGTACTCACTGAATCTTTTCTGTCACTAGTTGAGGGCTGCCCCCCAAGTTGTTAATTTTTTGATAGGTCTAGCCTTTCTTGGCCTTAAGTGAGCATGCTCCATGGGCAAAGAAACTAAATGAAGGAAATCCAGAAATGAACACAATATAGATGCTGTCTTCAGACAGCTCTTAGCTTGAATGGAAGGAAATATCAGAGGTGGAGAAGACCTGAAATATGCTTTCTTCTATTGACTTTATTCCCTGAAGTTTACAGTTCATCATGAATCTCTACTCCAGTTCCATACAGGTTACTCTGCCCATTCTTTCCTATATCCCTTCAAAGAGGAGGTGAGATACGAGGAGATATCCGGTAGCCAAATCTTGCCGAGACAGGTGCGCAGGAGAACTAGTTTAGATCTATGTATAGGCTAGGTACACAATTCTAGTTGCTTTATAAATTTGTGCACTGCAGAGCCCCCGGGGCTGGTGTGGATTACACCTTGTTGTAGGCAGAATAATAGCTTTCTCCCACAAGATGCACACACCATACTCCCTGGAACCTGTGAATATGTTCAGTGATATGGTAAAGAGGGAATTCAGGGTGCTAATCAGATGATCTTAATATGGGGAGACTAACCTGGATGAGGTGGCCCCATCTGTTCACAAGGGTTCAAAGAAGAAGGAGAAGCACAAGAGGGAGCACTTTGGAAATGAAAAAAAAAAAAAGGGATCACAAGCCAAGGAATGTAAATAGTTTCAAGAAGCTAAGAAAGACAAGGAAATGGATTCTTCCCTAGGGCTTCCAGGAAGAAGCACAACTCTATATCCCTGCTGACATCTTCATTTGAGCCCAGTGAGACTTGTGCTGGACTTCTAACCTACAGAGCTGTGAGATTATAAATTAGTGGTTTTTTAAATCACTATTTTCTTTTTTCCCTCTTTTTTACTTTTTGCAGTGGTGGGAACTGAACCCAGCTCTTGCATGTACTAGGCAAGCACCCTTCTATGGAATTACACTACACCCCTGTGGTGATTTTTTACATCAGCAATAGGAAACGAATACAGGATCTGACCCTCTCATAATACCTTGTTTTGCTCTATTTCATCCACTTGTGCTTCCAAGTAAGATTTCATTTAAATTTGGAATTCAGGCCTGAATAGCTGGATGTCAGTGGACCAGGCTATTGTGGGCCCTGTCTTCGTGGAGATGACACCAGGTGGGAGAAGTTGAGGACGCGGACGTATGCAGGGCTCCACAGGGTGTTGTCTAGGAGTAGCATTCCGAACCCTCATAGGAACAACTATGGCTTATGGAACTGAGCCAGCCGTGAAGGCTTGAGCTTGGTTTCATGGAGATGGATGATGCCACATGAACACTCAATAAGGCCCAACACATTTTTCGTTAAGTGCAAAGGAGTTGAGTTGAACTTATAAGTAGCTCTTAAATTTTATTACATTTTTGCATATGCTCTCAAGAGGGCCCACCCTGATTTCATGTGAGAAACCTTTGCTAATGGCATTGTGAATACCTCAAGACCTTTCTGGAGTGCTAAATTCCACTCTTATCTCTAACAAAGCTGGCTCTTTCCATACACCAGTCATATAATTCCCAAGGCCTTTCCCTATGATCATTGATATTTTTAGCAACATTTGGGTCTGACTTGCCTTGTTTGTTGCACACTTGCATCATCTGTCTCAGTGTTTCCTTGTGATACTATGGAAAACTGGAAGGTCCTACCATGTCGCATACAATTTTGTAAAGTGACAGTTTTTAGCAACGTTCCGGGGATTTGCCATACTTTAGCAGCTCAGTAGATGTCTGTGATGAATTACTGTATGAGCCTTTGTCTTGATTTGCTAGGATATTTCTTTCCTTTCATAGTAATAACAAGGTAGAAGTTGTTAATTCTGACTTAGAGTGTAGCACTTCATAGAGCATGTGACAACAGGGCTGATCCTTCGGCAAGAAGTACAGCAGATGGGTTGTGGTGGTGGGATGCGAGGTGAGGAGTGGAATGTCAAGATACATCATCAAGTGCAGAATGTACCTCGGACAGTGACCGAACTGGTATGGCTGAGTCATGGAGTACATGGGTTGATACAATGGGAACTGAGTTTAGGGTTGTAGAGTGGGTGCACATCATGAAGGGCTTTCAATGCAGGAGTTTGAAGAATTCTCTGGCTGTGTGGGGTGGGTAACGAAGGGTCTGGAGCATAGGTAAAAGTGGGTTTAGCAGAGTGGCAGGGCTTTAGGCATTTTGGATATCTTTCATAAGTTTACTGGGTCTGAATTATCAATCTCTTATGTATTTCAAAATGACTACAAGTAATTTTTCTCGTGACCTTTTAATGCATGGCCCTGATCAGAGCTCTAGCAAAGACTCTATATAGTTCCTGAGTTGTTTCCAGCCTTCAGAAATTCTAGTTTGTGACATTTGCTGTGAGGCATAAGCCTGTGTGGTTACTCTACCCTGAGAGGCTTTGGGATGAAGAATCAATATTGGAATCAGCCAGGGGTCTCCAGACTTGCAGGGGATATTAATGACCTGTCATTATGCAATCTCTTGGAACTAAGGTGTGGTTAATTGCACCTGAGATGGGTGTAGTACATTGTCATTCGATTCGGGGGTGCAAGCTCTGTATCCGTGATGCCACCCAAGAGTAATTCACAACATGTTCTAGATGACTTCCAGGAAGGATGCTCAGAAACTTGTGCCATCTAGGATATTTTGCCCCTCACCTGCATTACTACTGTACCTCCAAGGAAGAGCCATTTTAGTCCTGAGAGTCTAGATTCTAAGCCCATAGCCAAGTTCTCCTTTTGTTAGTTTACTGACTGAGAGTGGGTTAGAGACCTGGACCCTGACTTCAGCAGATGAGAAATGGGCCACATACTTCCTCCAGCTGTGGTTAGCTTTCCTTGCCCATGCAGCAGATAATGCCCAGGGGTTTCTGGCAGGGCATTATTGAGAGTGGATGGGCTGCTACTATGAGACCAGGTTGGAGCCATGGTAAACTCAGGCAGGCCAAGAGGGATTTACAGGGTACAATCCAGGAAGGCTGAAGGTGGAATCATCTATTCCTGCTTCACAGAAAAAGGTGAGGCAGCAGAGTTAGCATCCCTCTGGATGGGCTTCCTGCATCCTCCAAATCTGTCCTTAACTTTTTCTCTCTCAAAAGCTGGTATGGGTTTGGACAGCCTCAGCAATGAAGCACTTGCCAAGGGTTGAAATGGTGAGGATGAGTTTAATCTTACAGACTTTTTGGGCTCAAAGTATGCTCAAACAAAATAGCACACAGTGCCTATACCTGGTAGCCCTTCATTGTGAAAATTTATTTACTAGATTTACAGAACTCACATACCTTGGGGTTTAAAAAAATATGTCTACAAAAATAGACTGTTTATACACAAATAGCAAAGGGACTGTTTGATAGTGTACATCAGTTTGTTGATGAAATGTCCTGGGGGATGTTGGTCTGCTCTGTCTGGTTTGCCATCAAATCATACATACCCCAGTGCCCAAATCATGGACATAGGTGGCCCCTCTGATGGACAGCACTCTGCTGTCTTCTGGCCATATGTGGACTAAATGAGATCCTGAGTAGTGGTGTTTCCTCAAAATGGCTCTTGGAGTCAAAGCTGAGGACTGTGTTGGGAAGAGGGTGGCTGGGTGCTGGATCGACAGAAAGCACTTTTGTCTGGCCAAGTTTTTTCAAAAGCCTAAGATGAGAGATTCATCTGATTG